CAGCTATAATAGCCCTCCCTACGTCTACAAAGATTTGAAAAGCAGTAGCGTTCTCCTTGACATTGAATTCAGGGCAAAGATCAGTTATTTCAGCCCAGCAAGATCAGCAGAAGGACAGAAAGAAAAAATTGCATCTGAGCAAATTTACCTTTCACCAGAGTATAGAGAAAAAGGCCAGCTATCGACAAAACTAGATGTGTATGCTTTTGGGGTGCTAATGCTAGAGGTACTCACAGGAAAGAAGGTTGCTAATCTATGCGAAAGACTAGATGGGAATGTATCAGATGTTTTCGTGGGTATTCTTGATGAAACAAAGGGAAAGGATCAGCTAAAGAGCTTGATGGATCCTTCTTTAAAAGGGAATTATCCTTCTGAATCTGCTATCTCTGTAGCAAGACTAATCAAACTTTGCCTGAATAAAGATCCGTCAAGCAGGCCAGATATGGAGGAAATTGTGAAGTCTCTCTCAAAAGTATTGAGTGCATCCATGACCTGGGAATCATCGCTGTAAATTCAAGGCAACAGTTTTGCAGAGCTTTCAGGGGATCGTTCACTGAGAAACGGGTACTTGCATCAACATCCCCCCCCCCTCCCTCTTCCTATTCTTTTAGGCACCTAGTACAGTTTAATTTGTAATATCAACCTTTTTACATTTATAATTTTTCTTTCTAGTAGTTCAAAATTAATTTGGTAACACTTGGGAAGGAATTTTCAGTAATAAGTCTAGAAGGTAGAAAAGTATGTAACTTATAGCTGATAAAGTCATACTACCTCCGTTACATATTATTTGCAACGATTTGACATAAAGTAGAGAGGGAAAATGTCTAATCGTTGCAAATAATATGTAACGGAGATAGTATATTATGTCAGTTCAACTATTAGCTGAATACAGAAAACCTTTATTCTTCAGAATTTCTCATCTCCAATACTTAACCAGCAGGATGAGAAAGTCAAACACAGCAAACAATTTTGCACTTGTCACACATTTTATTTCTCTTTTGAAATAAAGATTTGAAAAATTGTGAGATTTTACATTATCATTTTATAAAATGCCATAGAAAATGAGTCGCTCAAATTATCATCAATTGTAAGAAGTAAAATTCTGAATCAAGCAGGACAACATAGTTCAGAAATTGAGTGAAATACAGTCAACAGGCACAAGATTCAGAAGGATAAAAAATGAGGTATCAGAATTATTACCTTCAAATCCAGTGACAAGCTGCTCATAAATCATGGTGCTTCATTTCAAATCAGGTAATTGACCGAAAAATACATATGATTCTCACTGAACAACACTAGCCAATAGAGCCTTGAAAGCTGCCAATATATAGCTTATGCACATGTATAAGATCTGCAGAACAGACATTGAACATCTGAACAGCGGAAGGAAGTGGAAGGATGTCATCTTGTTTCTCACAAGTCTCTTCAACTATGGAAGCTTCTCTCAGTCTTCCTTCCTTCCAAAGACCTCTGACAAGCAATGACTTTGTCTCAATGTCAGGAACCAAACCAGAGTTCCTCATGTCTTCTAAGAGTCTCAGTGCAAGAGTAGCCCTACCATGCTTACAGTAAGCACGGACAAGTGTCTTATACATGTAAGCATCTGGCTCTACACCGCACTGTTTTACCATCTCAAATAGTTTCTGGACTGTTCTGAAATTACCCCGAACTGCAAAATGATGCATCAATCCAGAAAATGTCTGCGCATCAGGGTAAATTTCCAAAGCGTACATCTGCTTGACAGTATCTATGGTATCGCCATCCCTCCCACACTTGAGCAGTGTGCGTAACAGAGAGGAATATAAAAGCACCATATCAAATTTGGAGAAGTGACCACATAGCAATTTAATATCATGGAATATCCTTAAAGCAGCATCTCCTTCCTTGTGAAGACCATAGAAATCAATAATCTGTCTTATGGTACTGAGTGACAACATAAGTCCTTCATTCATCAGTTTTAACAATATATCATGAACAAGATCAACCCTCCCATTGCTTGCTAATTTTGTGATCATCCCTGAATAAGTGTGAACATCATGAATGAATCCAGGTTGATGAGCAACCCAGCAGAAAAATTGCCATGCTGTTTCAGGTGATTTAAAGTGCCTAACCATCTTGCAAACCAAGCGGCTTGTCCACACAAGTTGAGCATCTTCTAAAGCAGATTTGTCAGCGTCTGTCCAGTCCCTTAAGGCACTAGCCAAAGCCATTGGGTCCAGCCATGGCTTCAACTGAACACTAACAGTGTCAGCTTCACTGCTGCAATCATCAACATCTTCCTCATGTTCACCACTACTGTGATTAGCAGCACATAACTCTATGTTCTTAATTCGACTATCAGGTACCATCTCTTTAATAAATTCATCACACTCTTCCAATACTTCTGCTTCACCCATACGTTGCAATGATGACAACATAGATCTTGGAGGTAGTATACCTTCCATCTTCATTTCTCTAAGAAGGCTTTTCACAGCATCGTACTGTTGGATATTCAAGAATGCCTCTATAAGAAGTGAATACTGCCTCAAGGTACGCTTAACTCTCATTTGTGGGAGTTTATAAAAAACTTCCTTTGCCTTTTCTACATTCCCGGAGTTTACAAGATGCTCAATAACAATAGTAAATGTCCGTGAGTTGGGGATAGCTCCTTCTTGCATTATGCTACGAAATGTCTGGACAGCTTCCAAGTCCTTTCCCATTACTACATAGAGCCCCATGACAATGTTGTAAGATTCAATACATGGTCCTTTACTTTGAGCACGAAGTGCATCCCAAACACAAAGTACCAAGTCAATATCTCCAGCACTAGCATACCATCTCATTTGGTCCACATAACTAACAGGTCGAACCTTTGGGAATTCGCCAGCATTGATTGAATCAATAAGATTTTTCAGCTGACGAGCACGACCTGATTTAGCTAGAATTTTAGCAATTGCATGAAGAGTATGTTGGGTATGAGAAAAATTAGGCACATTTTTAAGGGCTTCAACAAAAGACAGAGCAGATTCAGGGGAAGGGGCAGAACGGAGGGCATTCGAAACTACAACCAAATCCAAATTGGGATTATCTAACAGAGGAAGAAGCAAATCAGATGACCCAGACCGGAGACTTAAACGTATCGAATCAATGAGTTTTGCCTGACAGAAGTACTTATTGACTTGATTAGAGATGGGTTTGTAAGAAAAGCCGCGAGCTTGATGGGTTACACTAGAAAACAGATTCTGAACTTTGAATAAAGTCCTCCTAAACATTGGATAAAACCCAAATCAGGATAAGATGATCTTACAAATACACAATGACAGCAGGTTTCAGAATTCTCACAGAACAAACATCAAACAGTTGGTGTGCACGAATGTAGCGAAACAAAATAATAAAAAAGAAAAAGCTATCATACCAATAGTATGTTGATATAACTTCATGGAAATGAATGTGGACAATTTTCAGATTAACCAGAGTTAATCTTGAATAAAAGTAGTTAAATTAACTTTGGGGTTTAGGGTTCTTCAAAGTTTGAACCTTTAATTGAAAAGTTATACTCTAACAGATCAAACTCATGGAAATATTTCAAAGATGTTTGGTAAAATCATAGAAATGACTACTTGGATTTTAGGTATTCTTGGTGAATGAATTGTAAGTGAAGGAGCGCAAGGAACACTGACCGTTCCCAATGTGGCGCGAAAAAGGTTTTTAACTGACAGTTGCAACACTGATACGGAGTATAACGACCCAAATAATTTAGGTTTAAAAAACGATCTTGCTAACGAGCGTCCCGGGGCGTTAGTTAAAGATAAATTATATTGGTTGAAATGGTATTAAGTTAGGAATTCATGACAAAATCACGCGTCGTTCGGTGTAATTAATGTTAATTTTAGTCTAATATTTGCACTTTAATTCTCTTATCTAACGCCCCGGGGGCGCTCATTAGCTTAATACTTTAAAAAAAAAATATTAGATATATCAAAATCCTAATCATCAACTTTAGGTCGTGTTTGGTTTGATGTAAATGATTTTTCAAAATATTTTTTTTTTCATTTTTCTTTGTTTGGTTTGTGAAGGGGTGGAAAACATTTTTTCCTGAAAAACTATAAAACATTTGAAAAAAGGAAAGTCACTATTACGATACAACATGATTCAGACCGATACAATACACTTGAGCTATTTTATGTCGGGGTGCATCTTAAAAACTAGAGCATTTTCACTAATGGACAAAAAATACAGTATTTTTCCAATCTCTCTTTACCCACTTTCTCAATTATTCTCCAATTACTTATTTTGTTGATCATAATTTTCCTCCGCCAATAGTAAAAAAAAAAAAAATATTTTTTCACTATTCTCTCTCCTAATTTTTTTGGCAACCTATTCTCTCTCCCATTTTTTCCAATAGGAATCAGCCACTATTTATTGCTAATTTTTACTACTTCGTACTAAATATTACACCAATGGACATAATTTAAGTAAATTAGCAACCAAAATTAAGCAACGACAAATATACAAGTCAAATGGTGCAACTTTTTTTTTTTAAAGGTAAAGGTGCGACTATATTATAACAAATTAACAAAGCACGCTACTTCAGCATGACGTAAGCATAATGAGTATTAAAACTTAAAAGCAACTTTGTTTATTTGAACTCTTTTATTTTGTCAATCGTGTCTAATTTGTCCACCTTTTAAACAAACCTTAATTTTAATTCTAATATTGCATCGTAAATCTCTAATAAAAAGAAAAAAAAATAATAAAAAAATATTTGGACGTATTTATAAACACCCTTTACCAAATTGAAAGAGTCATTTTGTTTGCCAAAAGATAATGTAAGAATCATTGAAGTGAGAAAAGCAAAAGCATTTTCCTTAAGCTTGGGCATAGCTAAGTATTATAAATTTATAATCACACAGGGTGACAGGGTAAGTAGTTGTTAAGTCATGTGGGACACTAATCAATAATTAAATATAAAGGTTAAGAACTTAAGAACCCAAAATAAAATTACGAGGAAAAAAAAAAACTAGTTGATATATATATATATATATATTTAAAGGGCAGTAATACATTTCTTTGTATAGTCTTATTGGTTTTTAATTTTATACACCAAAATAATCACAGAAAAGAGGGGGGAGGGGTGAAGAGAAGAGAAAACTGTGGTACTCAAAAATCATATAGAAGAAATATTGATTTGATTCCTATACCCTGTAAAGCCTCTAATGCATTTCCAGTGTTCATTTGTATAGCAAGAAATTACACTAGGTAACAATGGTGTCGTGCCTCAACAAGGGAATGTCCCTGTATATCGTATATGGTCAAGAGTTCTCTTCAGTCCATACTTGCTTACTGCCTGGTTACCTATTCTAAATCCGTCTCCATAAGCAGGCGAACCATCAGACTCGATTTGGTGTTTGAAAAAATCACCAAGTTTCCTCTCAAACTGAGACCTTTTACCTTTCTTGGAAGAATTACTGCTGGAAGATGATCCGGGATCTGATGTAGATGAGGAAGAAGATGATGCGCCACTACTACTGCCAGAACCAGCTATGATTTCAGATTCCAGCCACATATGAGCTAAGACTTGGCATATTCCTTCTTCAACCTCTGGTCTCAGGTTTGGGTAACCATTAAGCCGTAACCATGCATGCATCATTTCGTGAGCGAGTATGGATCCAGTTAACAGCCTTAAATCAAGAAAATCACAAGAAACCAATAATCAGTGACTAGAAAAATGGCAGCATACTTCAACTGGTATTTGACTATTTCCCCAAGTGCCTGTCTGTCCCCAAATAAGATTATAGAGGCTATTTTAACGAACAAGGGTATCCTTCTCGATGTAAACGTATGTTCTAACATCACTAACATGCCACGAAATAGGTTTTTGATAAAGCTATCATTTAAGGCAATTCGGGCACGCTAAAAGTTACTAAATTTGAAGATGATCTATTAGCTTAACAGTCTAGAGAGGTATTTGTCGCGAAGAAGATAGCAGCAGAATAAAAAGTTACACTCTTCATCAAAAAATTCATAACTATTGCTCCTTCAACAATACATATTTATTCATAGAAAAATGTGGTGAAGTCTGCGGAGAGGACTCGAGTATGTCAGATTCTCATGCAACAACCCCAAACCCCTAAAAACTTTCTTAAGAGCCTTCTTTATACTTGGGGGAGAATAGAAAGGTTGTTTCCTTCGAAATTAAGGTTGTTTCCTGAAGTATTGACATATGAAAGTAGAAAGGTGATATGTTCACTAAGCTGCTAGTCAACCAAGTTTATAGAACTTACTAATATTACTCGATGTTCATACCTGCTAATCCAATACGCTAATATCTAATGCTGGCACCAAATGCTATTAAATAAATATACTGAACATATGACCGGTAAGTTCCAACTGCTAAACATTTGTACTAGTTACCAGAAAGGAACAGAGTGATCGTTTGAAGTTGCATTTCCTATGCATAAAAGACTAGAAAGTAGATTGATTGATAAAACATAAGGATCACAACTGCCTGCAACCTAAATTCCCACAAAACACTTGGCCACCTAGACCCTAGAAAAGGGTACACATCTTGCAAACAAACAAGCATCATCCACACTCATTACTTTATAGGCACATTTATATGACAGATTAGACATGAGAAGAATAAACACCTGGGAAGGCCGTAGAGAATCAGAATAGCTGTGACTTCACAACGACGTATCAATCGATAAGGCTCAGTTATCATGTCCATTATCTGGTGCCGACCTCCAATCTTTGGCCTCTTCAATATCTGGTTTTTCCATAGACACATGAGTTTGACATAAAAGACCAAAATACTCATACATCAATTATGCATGGTGAAACATCCATCTTGATGTATCTTACCGTCCGCACAGTCTGTTCTTCTGAAAGGCAGAGTCCTCTGGTCTCCGGCATGTGATGGTGACCCTAGAAGCAACAAAAACAAAAGTGAGAAAATTCATAATAAAATCAAGACAACTTTATATCATTTGCACAAAAAGTTTTTTTTACTTGTTTTTCTCCTTCCATAGCCTCGTTGAGTGCTTGCCTCTCCACAAGGAGCAAGGGTACTTGCTGCTCCACTTTCATGTTCAACCCTTCATAAAATTCTCGAATCTCTATATAAAGGGGTTGGCATTCATTAGTATCCATAATAGACGAGTCTAGGCACTCCAGACATAACTTACGACCATCATCAAGTCCCAGGTATTCTGTGCCCTTTGGCTGCACAAGTGTTGCAAGTTTCAGATTGTGAGGCATACCACATTAAGTGAATTCACAATTTTGTTTAAAATGTGGAGCATACGAAAAAATTTCTAGAAAAGAACTCTTTCTTTATCATACTTAAAATTCAAACAGTTTGTTTCAACTTACCTCCATTCTTTCACAGCTACAACACCTTGGAGTCCTATCATATTCATGAGAAGGGCAATACTTTTGCATCCAGAAAGGATGTGCTCTATACTCGATAAGGCCAGCTGCATTTGTAGGAATCTGTTCAAACAGAAATGCAGAAGAATATGACAACTAATCTAATAAGCCACAAATGAAATTAAACCTAGCTAAAATTGACTTTCAGTATGGGCAATATATATGTGCTTGGACATTCTTGATTCTTCTAATTCCATTCACAATCCATTAAAGTAGCATCATAGTCTATTCTCACAATAAACATACTGAAGCAAAGGTGAGAAACAAGGTGGTAAAAGGATAAAAAGAGGTACTGCCAATCATGCAGGTTTCTGGCCTTAGTTTCAAAATGTAATAACAGGGAAAACAGTAGCACAATTCTTTTTGTGGAGTATAACCAATTCCATCTCTGTCATCACGGTGAAGATTCTGAACACTGTTGGAATTCATATGTTATTCACACAACATCATTACCCAATGCTTCTAATGAAGCTCCCACTATTTAAAATGTAAGGGGCTGATGTAAGCTATGTTCATCACACCACTCTCCCAAAACTGTCGCCTTCATCTTCCTTCATGTAACACTTTCTAATGTTGTCTCTTTCAAATTATGTTACAAACCTTTTAAGGTATGTGGCTTTTCTCACACCCTCTCCATATCACACGGAAAAAACGCAAAAGAGTTGACGAATTATAATTTTAGTATGCCTCAAGGGTTAGATTAATGAAATAAGGTGTACTTCCACACTTGGCTGAAGAATTATGCTAATTAAATCTTGTTTATCATGATTAATTATTTAAGTATGCCTCAAGGGTTAGATTGATGAAAGCAAATGTACTTCACATTTAGCAGAAGAATTATGCTAATTAAATCTTGTTTGTCATGTATACCTCTCTATTATCTGTCATTCTGTCCACATTATAAATTCTGGTGGCAATAGTGCATCTATTTGAGTAGATAATGCAGAGCAGGGGAAGAGAGGAAGAATCATCTTGTGAACAGAGATTTGGAGCATTGTCCTAAGCCAGAGAGAAGAATGGAATTTTAAAGGGTTGCCTCGAAAAATTTGCTTTGGAGGGAAATTAGTGGTGGAGGTTACCTCTTGAATTTAAGAAATTTGTTGTACAATGTCATCAAAAGTAAGTACGAGTTATGTAAAATAGGGCAGTATGAGACCTTGCCTTTGGAGATTTAATTCACATAAGACTTCTCTAGTTACTCCTTAGGGGAGGTTAATAGGGATTGGAATTCGTAAAAAAAAAAAAGAAAAAAAGAAAAAAAGAAAGAGGGAGGGGGGGGGATTGGAAGCGATTTTAATTTGAATATATAAATAGAAGAGCAGCCTATAGTGCGACTTTACTGCATGTAAAGGAGCTCAGTTCCATGTGTGATCTTTTGTCAGTTAATGAACGTAAATGACTCTAGAGTATTGTTGGGAGATTTGTCAGGGGTCTTATCTTGTAAGTCAATAAAATCATTACTTGTTTGAATAATTCTACAGTATACTACAATTATTCAAGATAACAACCAAATTGGCAAAGGAACAATACTTACAAAGTTTTTGCAGACGTCACACCTTGGATGGTGCTGCTCCTTATAGCAAGTTTTATGAAATGGTCGATTCCGCGACATAGAAAACTGGTGTATAGAAAATCAGATGAATATACAACATGGTTAGTGCCAAAAGCCACGGGTTATTCACATACACGTGCATCATTAAAATATAAAAGTGAAAACAATTAAAATTCTAACCTCATAATCAGATATTGGTTCATTGCATGCTTGGCAACGGAAGCATTCTGGATGCCAAAACCCACCCATACAACTTAAATATCGTCCATGACCAATCTCAGCACCACAACCAGAACATGTCCTGCCCGCAAAACACAATTCCACAACCAATTTAGATACACCACGAGTTTACTATGCTTTGGAAGACAAAAGATTTCAAAACATATCAAATTCCAGTACGCACTTTTAATCCATTAAAATGAGCTTCCTTCAGTATGAGACCGCAAAATCTTGGGAGGATTCTTGGGAGAGTATTTTAAGTCAGTAGTGCACACAAAATTTATAACAAACATCCTAGTATAGTAGACGCAGCATAATGCTCTAGAGAAATTTCATTTGCAACAGATCACTCTGACTGAGCATTTTTATGTGTGAAAGGAACAATTAATCCAAAAGGAAACACAGAAAACAGACCAAGAACAACACACATCTGTCTAAGAAAGCATAAATTCATCCTAAACTGGGAGGCCCCGAAAACACTAAACCCACATAATTTAATTTGATGTCAGTATTAGCTCCTTCCACCCATGCTAAATTATTCTAAGCCTCATGTTTCTGACAAAGCCCATCATATCTTAGCTCAATCTAGATACAAGCAGCAGCACAAGGTCTTTATCTTTTCATACAAATTCACAAGCATGGGTTCACATAAAATGCAATATACAACAAAAACATCTGCTGAAATTTCAATTAAGACATTAATTATCAGACAGTATAATACTATAATGTATACATAACCCCGCCACTAGGTTCACTTGTACAAAGGTTTTAAAGGAAACTATACTGACTTCATAAAAATAGAGAAAAAAAAAAAAAAAAAAAAAAAAAAACATGGAGCTGTTCAATTGAACCTCCATGAAAAAAATGAAGCTGTGCATATAAATCACCAAATTCAACCTTCATGCATTAATGAAAAATAAAACAATAACAATTTTGAGAAACGGTTCAGACAAAGCTGATAAGACTCTGATGTAAAACCTGTATCCATAGGAAAAGAAAGGGTAAGGCTGCATCATAGTTCCACGATCATATTGAGGAGGCGGTCGGGGAGGAGTCGGGGGTGGAGTTTGAGCTGGAGATTCCATATTTAAACTTTCTTGAAGAGCCTTGGCCAGTAGTTCATCTTCCTCAAGTAGACTATCATGATCTGATGGATACATACAAGATTCTTTAGCTTTACATGACAATAACTGGCATCAAAATATTGTAAAAGCCTGTTTAGAACTCCTAAAGTATTCTATATTTCTATGTTTAACTGATGTTATCTATCAAGCAGACATAAAGATTTAACATTTTGTATTCAAAACCATGCTTCATGTAGAAGAGACTAATCACTGCAAAGGCCTAGAATCCCAAGGAAGACAAAATCCTAAGCATCCTTGTTTGATTCAAAATGTTTGATATTAAATCTACAGCATGGAAGAATAGGAAGATATATCATGTCTGCTGAACAAAGATACTAGATTGAGCTAAAGATCCAACTTACCAATCACCTTTTTGCCTTTCTGATCTTTTTCCTGTTGTCTCTCCTCTTCCTCTGCAAGAGAAAGTGCAATTGCACGATCAATATCTTCATTCCCGGAATCTGACCACGCGTCCTGCATACAATGCCCCCATTAAAGAACATGTTTCACCAATACAAGATCACAAAGACAATAGATTATGTTACACCAATAGCAAAAATGTAACTAGAAACCTTCCAACTCACTCTAGTTCTCCTCCTCCCTTCATAGTAACGATAATTCAAACGTGGATTTCTCAACATATTGTTCAATCAAGTCTATCCCTAGTACATAAACCCTCACATAAAGAGTTTTTATAGAGTTTAAGCTATTGTACATTTGAGTCTATTTATAGAACACGAAACCACATATAAGTAAGTAAAAACCAGGCACACACACGATTGACATGAGAGAAATGCAATGGTTTCCACTTCGATTCGTTTATTCTAAAGTTAAGGAATAAAGCAAAAATAGGAAATTCTCAAGCCGCGAAATCAAGAGAATGTCGAAGGTTGCAGGAATTACCCCGGAAGTGGTAGGACCGTCCCAAATTGTATCCTCTCCATACCGTCCATGGTATTGTCCTTCTGATATTCTATGACTATTGCTGGAACCTCCAAAAATCTTACTCAACCAACCCATAATTAAAGATTTTCACTCTCTTTATGGGTTGGCAGAATTCAATCAGTACTATACTCAGCTGCTTATTGCCATATTTACAATCTGCACAGTACCATAAATACCCTTTAAATTCACATAATAAATAACATAATCCCAATTTCCTGCAAAATTGGGTAGGAACTAATTTGAAAATTGAATTCAATCATCAAATTTAGAAATTGATCAATAATCTGCACAAATGGGTAGGGACTAAATAACATGATAAAATAAAAAAAACATCAAACTTAGAAATTAATCAATTATGCGATGATATAATGATATACATACCCAAATAATGAACACAATCAAAATCAACAGCAAAAACCAATACTTCTAATTAAAGCAAATAACATAAGCTTGGTAATTCAATAAAAATTAAACAAATTGCTTCAATAGGATTGTAATTCCATAATTCCTTGACAGAAAAATAAAACCCAAAAAACCCAGAATTGACAAAAATTGAATTCAAAGAAATAAACTGCAAAAGTGCCCACTACAATTGGAGAGAGAAAGAGATTCTTTTTTTACCTTATAAGAATCTAGTGAAGGCATTTATAAAGTGCAAAAGCATTCAATTAAATCAACCAATCAATAAGTAAAGTTATGAACTTTTGATCATATTAAGTGTTAGAAAATTTCACTCACCTTAAAAAAAAAATTGAAGATAGATCAAGATTCCCCAGAAAAATACCCAGATCAAAAAATTAAAATTAAAAAAAATTAAAGCTTTTCTTTCTTTTTCAACTCCCAGTTGTAATTCAATACAAAATTACAGAAAATTTTGAAAAAATAAATAAAATTTCTAATTTTTTGAGAGGGGGTTAGAGAAGAGTCGACAAAAAAGTTGGAAGAAAATTCCAGGCAGTTGAGAGGAGGAGAGAGAAAATGTGTGAGCGTTTGAGGGGCCAACAAAATAGACTTTCTTGGCTCTTCTTCACTTGAATTCGACGCAAATTTTTGGCATAATGAGAGTAATCGATTTTATTTTATTTTCCAAAATAAATGGAACATAGGATAAAATAAAAATAATATATGAATGTTCATATACTGTATTATTATAGACAAATTGAATCATAAACTCATAGGGCTTTACGTGGATTGGTAGCCATCAAAGAACTTCTCTTACACTCTTTTTATTTTATTAATTTTGTGTTTGAAAAACAACAAAAATAATGGTGAAGGATGATTAAAATTTGAAGATAAGGGGTAATAGTGGGGCCTAATTAATGTCATCTCAACTAAACATGTAACGATTAACAAATTACCAACATAAACCACTATTTGCACTTATGGTATCAATTAATTTTTGTTAGTACTCCATAATGAGTATGGACATGTTTTTGATCGGTTGTATTCTTGATTGGGCACGTACGCCTGGTTAATTAGTTTGGTAAAGACGGTGAAGGTTGTCGTCTTTTTGCCTAATGTTCATTGTGAAAATATTGTTACTCGCTCGATCGAATTTCTTTGTTTGATTGATAGGGCGGTAGTACTTTATTCAAATTTTTGAAAGAACTTGTGCATGCTCAGTCGAATTAATCTTTAATTTTTGGTCGAAACAAGGATATGAATGTCATCCTTAGCCATATTCCCAAGGAAAGGAATTCAGTGGCCCACTACCTGAGTTAGCTTGCTATGCGTATGCAAAGAGGCCATATTTCTCACTAGTGAGTCACTATAGTGTTCCAACTAGTGTTCTGGCTGCATATGAAGCGGATCGTAATGCTTTGCCAAACTTATCTTAGCTCTTTCTAGAGTTATGATTGTTATATACCTCTGCTTATGATATGTAAAAACATTTCCTTTAACTTCTGTGGTTTTAGTTTGCTAAACTTGGTCCAAGATTTGTATTTTGGGTTTATTCAAATCTTTGGGCGTTAGGATGTAATTACGGCTTTGCCCAAGTAATCCATACTATGTTTTATGTTAAACAAAAAAAAAAAAAAAATTGTTGTCATTTTATTGCCGCGTTAAACGAATTTCTAAACCTTACTTTCAATATATACTTTTAACTTCTTATTTTAAAGTTGACATCCTCTGAATTTATTGTGTAATTATAAATTTTGTTTAAATCACAAGTTTCAACTAATTTATACTTAGTATTAATTCTAACTAATAGGCTTATAGCGCATGAATATAAATAAATATTTATTTATCACATACTATCTCATAGAAAAGTTCTTAAAGTTTGAAATTAATTTGGTATGGGAAAGTAATAAAGAACATTTCATTTTGATATAAAATAAAACTTTTCAAATAATTATATATATTCGCTAAATTGTTGTCATTAAAAAAAATACTCCATATCACAAATTCACAACTAACTACGATTAATGATCCGACAAACTAAGTATCGTTTACTTTTACGTGCTTATGAATTTGATTTATATTAGATTTATAGTCATCCTTTCTAAATTCCTGAATTTGATCTATGTTAGATTTGTAGTCATCCTATTTAAATTCCTGGCTAGAGTCTTTCTTTTAACAAAGATACTTTTTACCTCAAATTTCTAACCAAGTCATCCACCAAGCATGCATTTTCTTCCAACACACCAAATTAAACTTCCTTTCCCAAGAATTACTTTGGCCTAAAACGTTGCATTGGCAGGATATTTAACTCACTAGTCACTAGGCAATTTATAGATGTTTCAACACTTCATGTGTCTATCACACTATACCGACACCCACTGAATTAGGCTTTGTATTGGGGGGTGATGTTCAAGTTAAGTTAGACAACTACAAATTAAACTCTATTAGGTCATGTTGGTTCCAAGTAATGTTCTTTAACATTAATTATTTAGAAAAAATTGTAAATTTGTATTAATTATTCAAAAATATTTTCATAATTTTCTTGACTAGGGATATTACATGTTACTTATTCGGATCTTCCTCTATTTTTTATATATTTTGTTTAAAAAAAGAATATGAGTTAACTAGTCTCAACTCACACAAAGGTTATTTTTCTAATAATAAGCAAACTAGGCAATGTTTTACATAAGTTTGATGATTATTTATTCTTAGGCATAATTTATTTATTATTAATTTTTTTTTTTTTATTATTTTTTTTTGAAGAAATCTTAGGCATAGTAATTTAATACTGTAGTAATTTGATGAGACCTTTTTTTTTTTTTGATAAAATTTAATGAGTCTAAAACTCTGAATGATTTGATGAACCCATGAGATCCAATATGATGCATCTCTAGGGAAAAGACATATGTCTTTCGGTTGAACATGCGTAATGGTAATGAGGTGATGACAAAAAAGTTAGGATTTGTTACTAGAAATTAAACCAAAAAAAACAGCAATTTACCGTTCATAAATTGTTAACAAAAAAGGGACAAACCTACTTTGAACAACTCCTATAAATAGAATTTGGTTCAAAGTTAAGTACTTTAAATTACTTTCTTTAATTAATCCTTTTTTTTAATTACCGGTCGCCGTCGATATTCGCGTACTAATAAGTCAATTGTGAGATGATCACTCGTATGATGAATATAACGGTAATTCTGTTTTATTGTTTTTTATTTCTATTATTTGAGCTAACTTATTATGTTGGGTACTTTGTGCTTTACGCCTTTACCCATGTGAATAATAAATTGGACATAATTGAATTTTCGATATTTTAGGATCTTAGCTGACCTTTAATTTATCAGATATTAGTTGACTTTTATTTTATTTTATATTTTAATTCTTTTTATAATTAATTAAGTTGATTTGAATGTTTGTTTGCATCAATTGCATTTGTTAATTTGTTGTCAATAAAAACGGTGTCACGCGAGACTAGGTGAGATTTATGCCATGCTTAAACTTGTAATAATAATCTTTTTTGTAAAAAAACTAAAAAAAAAAAAAAAAAAAAATAAATAAAGATAACAAGATAAGATGATAGACTGATGCAGTTTTAATTTAGGAACATATAATTAGATACCTATTTGAAAATAAATTCTACTTCAAATCAAATTTGCTTTGCTCTTGTATAAAATAAATATATAAATAGTTACATGAATAATTATTATATACATGCATTATAAAGTGCTAGGTGTTAACCAAAAAAAAAAAAGTGATAGGTGAAGCGAGAGAAAGTAAATCAAATCAACAAACAAGGATGAATGTAAATTTCTCGAAACTCTATGAATGGCCTATTTCAGATGCTGAATTCTTGAAGGAAGTAACTCAAAGAGAAGAGAGAAGTCATGACAACAAAGAATATCATTACTCTAAATTTTCAATACCATTACCACCATCGCCGACACAATCGTTATTGTTGAAATTGCAATATGCTTCCAGGCAAATGTATCTAAGAAGCTACACTTTCACAAAGAGCAAAAGCAAGAACAAGAGGTGGTTAAAGATTGATAGTGTGAAGAACAAATGGAATGAGTGTTTACGAATAATTAATGATAAACCATTGTTCAAAAAGAATGGTAATAACTAATAAGGGATATTTGGGATATTTATGTGGGTTAGATTCGATTTTATCTGTGAATTTTTAAGTTTGAATCTTGATTCAATTATTGTTCAATTTTTTTTGTTTTTTTTTTTATAGATTATGCATCAAGAGTGTATTTTTCAATTGCATTAAAGTTAATAAAATTTCATTTTGAAAACATCATAAAGAGATTAAAGTAGTAATAAATCAATTTAGAGAAATAAAAGTGGCATGTAATGTAACTACATAAGTGATACTTAAGTATTCAACCCTAACGCTGACGATTTAAATCAACTTTTACGGACTTGTAGTATGAATCCAAGTCGCAATTTACTATTCTTTTTCGGAAAAGATGGCCCTAAAACAACGCTGAATTCAATTTGGATGATTGTAGTTTCTAAATTCTAAATCAGGCAGCCCAAAACATATTAATAATGTTTGATGGGCCTAATGGGCCATATACCGTAGATTCGAAAATATCAGCTAGTTTGGATAAATTCGCTAGTATAAAGTTTTCTGTTCTGTTTCAAAAAAAAAAAAAAAAAAAAAGTTTTCTGTTCACCCCTTCTTCCTAGTCCCTACTGGCTAGTGAGGACTAAGGAGCGGCTAGTTGGCTACTATGTTTATTCATCGTATTACTCCCTTCAAATTTAAACTCTAAAGTTCTTCACAGTTTCCACCTAGCTACATTGGCATTATCTATATTTTTAAATTATAAGACAGAGAAATTTTTCAATTTTACTGGTATTACTCCCTTCAAATCTAAAGTTCTTCCCAGCCACACAAAAAAACACGTTAACCGACCAAGTAACCTCAAAATAAGGAATCTTGATCGATCGAGTAACTCTCTGAATAAGTAACTCCGACCACACGGCGAGGTCAACCACAATGTTAATGTTTATTTTTTAAATATCAGTATACATGTTTTAGAGAAAAAAAAACATTAATACATTGATTTACGCGTGTTTTTCTTATGATTTTCTATGCGACAACAGGTTATTTGTTGTGAGAAATAAAATATTCCTTAGTGTATTCAATGCTTATATGCAACCCTGCATTATATTACCCAAAAGAAAATATATAAAATTTAATTTTTTAAATATATAAACCTTAACCCTTTTTTTTTTGGAAACATAACGTGTTTTAATTAAATATTATTCTATCTATTTTTTGTATTCCCATTGTGAATTTATAATATGAATTTCAATTAAACTTAAATAAGCCGAGTGAGGAACAACTCAAGTGGTTAAAATTTTCCTCTAGGTTTTAGGTGATTCAAAGATCGATTCTCATCACTCGCCCTTATGGCTTTCTTAAAATAATTTTTTTTTTTTAAAAAAAAAACACCTTAAACCTTACTTGTATATTTTAACACTTACTTTTCTTTTCTTATCTTTTTTTTTTTTTTAAGTTTTTGGCAGCTCAGTTAATGTTTGTTTGTAACTTTTAGGGAGCATTTGATTCACAAAGTGATACTTCCTCCGTTTTCTTTTACTTGCAACACTTCCCTAAAAAGGAAATGTCACAATACTTGCAACACATTATAAAAG